ACATAGTGTAAAAGAAAGTATATAAGCAGTACATTTCTGCTGTTTAATAAAGACATCGTTTTATACGATTAAACAAGTGTCCCTTAGCTTGTCTTTGGCCTACTTATACAAATTATTAATAACACTACCTTCACCTCGATCTTTCCTAAACTAAATTCTTGTCTAATTGTTAAAATCCGATAAACTATAACCACTACGCTGCCCAAAGGTTACCCTTCTGAATTAGCCCAAATTAGACTAAGATCGCTCCTATTGTCTGCCCAATACAGACAACCCTTATTGTTATCTGAGTTTAGTGCCATTTCCAACCTTAGTTTAGGTTGATTGTATTGAGTATCGTACCCGGAAGTATTGTCAATATATTTCCTTGTGAGTTGGTTCCAGTGGTTCGAGTGTTGGTAAACCGAAGTTTGTCACATGTTTCTTGCCTAAGGATTGCTGAAGCCTTAGAAGCATTCCACTTCGCTGAATCTAAACGTCTCTTTCAATAAGGTGGTCCAGTGTTTTGTTTGTTTAATTTTGCTAGTTGATTTAACTCCTGGCAAATCGATATTTCTCTGAGTAACAATTGGTGGTAACTGTGAGATACAGCACCCCATAGCTTTTAGAGTCACCTTTTGTTTTAGTAGTAGTTTTAGTCTTAGTTTTAGTTCCAGCATTAGCCAAATTACCCATACTTTTAGAAAAGTATCATTTAGTTTAGGATGGAAGACCTTTTAATTCGAAACGAAGATCTCCGGGTTGAGGAAAATGAAGTTAATGGAGAAATTCAGGATGATCTCGCTCAAGAAAACCAAGTACTAGTCGATGGTGGAAACCAGCCAGAGGACGTTAAAGAAATCCTGAAACAGATTGCTAGTGCATTTAAAGATATAACCAAGGGATCTTCACGTAGAAAAACCAATTGGGTTCAGGTCAAACCCTTCAAAGGTGAAGAGGATGAAGACCCAATCGAGTGGATTGAGGTCTTTGAGCGAGCAGCAGATGCAAATAATTGGGGAGAAGAGCGTAAAGTTAAGATTGCCTCAGGCTATCTATCCAAAATAGCGGCCAATTAGTATAAGGAGAAGAAAAATGAGCTGCAATATTGGGATAATGCTGAAAACTTGGACACCAGCTTCAAGAAACAATTTGTGAATTACTTCGCCACGCCGGAATGATGCTATAAGTGGTAGGTAGACTTGGACAACTTAGAGTAAGGAGACAATGAGCGTGTAGATTCCTACACTTATAAATTTAAGTGTTTGTTGATGCTGATAAAGGCATTCTGGCTCCTTACATTGTGAGGATGTTCCTAAAAGGGCTTCGAGAAACATTGCAGCGCTTTTGTCTTTGGCGGAACTGAATAATCTTGACAATGCTATTGTAATAGCCCGGAGAATTGAAGCAGGTAGCCATTATGAAGATAAGAAAGGGTCTAAGTCAGTCTTAAAGGTGGAAAAAGAATTGGAAGATTTAATCCTTAAACTAAAGCAAATGGCAGCTAGTTATGAAAAACTCACTACCACTCTAGCTGCTATGATGGATGCCCGTCCCACCCGGAATAGACTGCCTTGGCCACCAAATTCTAAAATTATTTGCTTCAATTGTGGTGAGCCAGGTTATATATCTAGAAATTGTCAGTCCGAAAGGAAGTCAAATGACCAAAGAAACTCCATCCAGCCTATACAAATTCTTTCACCTCCCGGCAATGTTAACTATTGTAGAATAGAGGATAAGAATTACGTTAAAGTGAGGTTTTGGCTAATGACCAAGCCCGGTATCAACCTTATGCCACTCAAAAAGGACTAAGACCAGTAAAGAAGTCCGAGTCAAAGTGGGAGGATAGGTTGAGGCGACGTGAACCAGAAGAGCAGCCCCAAGAACCATTGCCAATGAATGAAGAGCCGTATATCTCAGAGGAGCCAACTGTGACTCGCTCTAAGTATAGAAGGGGACCATCTAGAGTGGATAACCTTGAACCATATAATGTTGTTCAAGGCTTGTTAAACACTAAGTCTAGTGTTACTATAGGGCAAATGTTAAAATACTCTAACCAATGCCGTAATCTTGCCTAAGCCCTTCGTCATTCTAGGTTATCTGTGGAGACTAATTATGCCCAACCCAGAGAAAATTTGAGGACCACAGCTGCCTGGTGTTATGTAAAAATTAGAGTAAATCCAGTAGTAGCAATCCTGGACACCAGTGCAGCTGTTAGTTTGGTTACCAAACCTTTGGCAGATAAATTGGGACTTAAGATTGGAGTACCCTTTAATACTGTGGTAATCACAGCTACAAGGGCCCGTGAATGAACCTTGGGCAAGATTGAAAACTTAAAAATAGTTGTAGGTGGCCTTTTGGTTCCAATAACCCTCCAAGTAATTGATTCCCGGGATGAAATGTTGTTGCTAGGTACCGATTGGTTCCAGAAATCAAAGGCCCATATGCACTTTGATGAAGAAAAGTTATACCTAACTTATCAGGGCCAAACAACCCGCTTGGCTATATCACATGTTGGGGAACATCAGCTTTCGAAGCCTGATAATAAAAGTGACGATAAGGACCTCTTTGATGAATTAGAATTTGAGGATGAACTGCTAGAAGAAGCTAAGGGCTATTATACCAGTGAGGCCTTATCGGAAGAAAAGTTACATGTAAACCCTTGGGATAGAGCACAACATTGTGCGGCTATAGAAGAGGTTCTGGTGGGGCATTATGATGAAGAAAATGAAAAAAAAAGAATTGGATGAAATATGGAAAAAGGCACTAGATGAATTAATAGCCCAGGAAGAAATAGGTAACAAGGGCCAGAAACAAGCTAAATAGTTATTTACAAAGTACGAAGATATATTTGCTAGAGGATTAGAAGATTTAGGGCAGACTAATATTGTTTAGCATTATATCAACATGGGTTCTGCATCTTCTATCAAGCAGGCGGCCTTTCGATTAGCTTCTAGTAAGCAGAAGTTTTTACAAGAAGAGGTTCGAAAAATGTTGAATACGGGATTAATATGGGAGTCCTATAGCCCATGGTTATCTCCAGTGGTGTTAGTCCCAAGAAGAATGGAAAATTACGGGTCTGTATTGATTATCGGAAAATCAATACAGTAACAAAGAAGAACGCCTATTCTATTCCAAGAATAGATGATATGCTGGAGACATTCGGGAATGCCTCTTGGTTCTCCAGTTTAGACTTGGCCAGTGGGTACTGACAAGTCTCCCTTCGTAGCTGAACAAGACAGGAAAAAGACAGCCTTTGTTACCAAGTTTGGGATGTATGAGTTTAATATTATGCCTTTCGGTCTCTGTAACACCCCGGCTACGTTTCAGCGGCTGATGAACCATATGCTAAAGGAGTATATTGGGCAATTTGTTGCCGTTTACCTAGATGACATTACTGTCTACTCTAGAACTTTCTAAGAACACATAGAACATTTGGAAAGGGTCTTTATCAAGCTTAAGGAGGCATGGTTAAAATTAAATAGTGACAAATATACCTTCTTAGAAGGTTGTTAAAGTTTCTACGCCATGAAATTACTAGGAATGGAATTAGGCCGGATAATGAAAAGGTCATCAAAGTCCGAGAATACCCGGTACCAAAAACTCTGCGCCAATTGAGAGGATTTTTGGATCTATCATCCTACTATAGGCGGTTTATTAAGGGTTTTGCCTCTCTTGCTCAACCTTTGCATCATCTACTTCGAAAGATATGCCATATGATTGGGGCGAGCCTCAATATAAGGCATTTGAAACATTAAAGCACCATTTGACTACTGCCCCAATTTTACAGTATCCAAATTTTAAGAAGACATTCTACTTACACACAGATGCTTTAGAGATAGGTCTCAGAGCTGTGTTGTTCCAAAAAGATGAAAAAAATAGGGAGCACGTGATTGCATATGCTAGCCGAAGTTAAGTCGTGCCAAGAAAAACTACTCTACCACTGAGTTGGAGTGCCTGGCGGTAATTTGGAGAATTGAGTATTTCCACCATTATTTAGGCATTAAGCCTTTTGTAGTAATCACGGACCATGCTGCTCTTAAATGGTTAGAGACATCAAAATTGAAAGGAAGAAGAGCAAGGTAGATCCTCCAGCTCCAATCTTATATTTTTAAAATCGTACATAGGAGTGGTTGGGTGCACTCTAATATAGATACACTATCCCATCTCCCCAAAATAAATGATAATGAGAAAGAAAACCAGCTAGAAGAAGCTAGAGATGTTTTTAAAGTTGATGTTATATATATAGAAGATAGTGAAGATGAATGGTACTCAGAAAATGAAGATTATGAAGAGGACTATGAGGATGAAGAGGATTACGAATCTGAGGTAGAAGAGATGAATTATGAAAGGACTGATAGTATAGAGGAATAATGGAATACGTGTGAGGTAGATGAGAGTGAAGTAGTAGACATGAATCGGCGGGAACAAGGGTATGAACAATTATTACATGATTTCAAAATAGAATTAGGCCGTAGATTGTTATGGGAAGGCCATAGTGATATTGCCCAACAGTGGTAGGAATATGAGAATGAAAAAGGAGCTGAAATGTCACTTTCCCAGGATGAAGTATACTTAGTGGACGATTTAAGGGCCATCCAGGGTGAAGAAAGCTTCTCTGATGTAACCCGGATGGAATGGGAGCCCCAAAAAAATGTTCCTTGGCCCCTTACACTCAAAGAAGTTATAGAAGCCTCGGAGGAAGAAAATGACCCCAAGTATGAAGGTGATGAAGGATCATCCGATGGTAATTATTCTCCTTCTTCACAATGGGAAACGTCAGATGATGATGAGTCCCAAATAGAAGTTGTAATAAACAGTGGATCGACAAGTCTAACCACCCTGGAGGAAGAAACCTTGACCGAAGAGTGGAAGGTTAATAAGAGTCTTACAGACCTAGTAAAACAAGAGAATGCAATGATGGATAAATTTATCAAATGGCCAGAAGATGACCAGGAAGAAACCTTTGAGCCACAAGCCATTGATATCAGCACAGAGGAAATTGGTATTGAAAGAGATGAACAGGCAATGAATATGGACGTGTCTATATATATACCCGTCTTTCTTTTTACTAAGTTAACTCCTAGAAGATGCCAAAAATTGGTCTTTGCAGGGAAAACCCAGCGCTTCGAAAATGAGTTCTTCCTCTACGACCATCCTACCCTTAATGACCATATAGCAGCCCAGGAGCTCAATTTAAGGGAGGCCGTATATTGGGTAGATTTTTATGGCTATCCTTTAATTGCCAACAACCCAAATGAATTACTAATCCTGCAAAACTGGATGCAAGATGAAGTACAACAAAGTGAAGCCCGGCAGTTAATGGCTTTACAAACCGGCATTGATCCTGGGTGTGACCGAAGACTTGTAGATAATAATGGTGTTCTTATCTTACCTGTGGAAATCAAGTTGAATTAGTAAATGTATATAAATACCAATATTCTTTTTCTTTTAATATCTTAATGTTATATAACCTCCTGGACATTCATGTTCTCGAGATCATATAACTGAAAAAAAAAAAAAAAAAAAAATAGGTACTTTAGTAATACCGTCCAAATTTTATTTAGTTTTTTTTCGAATCACAGACCTAACATTAGTAAGGTTGGTTAAGATGGGGTAGGGCGAGTTGGGGCCCTATTCACTTGAGAAAAGATTGATGAAAACTTGATCCGCAAAGGATCAGTTGCCGATTGAGATATTAAATTAGGAAGGGTCCAATAGGGACTAAGTTTGGAAAATTAAAATAGAATGCAAAAAAAAAAAAAAAAAAAGTGTATTGGAAGAAAATGATGAGAGTTGAAGTTTAGATTTTTGGTTATAGCCGAATGCTAAGGCATTTCTCTGCTATCAAAAATCTTCTGAGAAGATGCATAATGAATAACCCTAAGAATTGGTTAAATGAAAATAATGCTGGCATTGGGAAAATCGATCAATTGTAAGAGTTAGGGACGGCAATAATTAAAGACACGTCTGCACTATTAGATAAATAGTGTGATAGTGTATTCAAGCAAATTGAAGATATTAAAGAACCTGAACAAGTTAAAATACCAAACAAACTATAGGAAGAATCCTCTGTGTGGAATTTCCTAATGACATAAATCTGACGATAAGCAAAAATTCGGACCAGGTAGTCGGTGTCCTGGCACAAGAAGTACTAAGATGGATCCGGAAAGATTTAATCAATTAAATCGCTTTCTTCAAGAACAATATATTGATCTGAGATTGTCCAAGAAAGAAAGAAGAAGACTTATAAATAATGGGCGGATGTTCTTCTTGAAAGATAGGATTATCTTCCAAAACAACAGCAGAAACTCAAATAAGCTGTTGAGGGTTATTCAAACCCAAGAAGTGGAACCAGTGTTATATCTGGTTCATGATTACCCACTAGGAGGTCATTTAGGGATTGAAACCATGTTTGAGAAAATAAGACAACTCTATTACTGGCCTCAATCATATAAACGAATACGGGAGTATGTGAAGTCCTGTGACCAATGTCAACGACAAGGTAAGCCCCGGCTAACTACTCCCTTATACCCTATACTGGTCATGGCTCCTTTTTATCAGGTTGGTATAGATATTGTAGGACCACTACCTATCACATCTAGAACAAGTAGGTATATAGTGGTGGCAACAGATTATATGACTAAATGGCCAGAAGCTAAAGCCGTTAGTTTAGCAAATACTTAGGAAGTGGCCGATTTTCTGTACAATGAAATAATTTGCCGTCACAGGTGCCCTGAGTTGATCCTGTCAGATCGAGGAACTCATTTCCGAAATAAGCTAGTTCGGAAATTACTGGAAAAGTTTTAAACTAAGCATGTCTTGTCATTGCAATACCACCCCAGACAAATGGGCTAGTAGAACGGTTTAACCAGACCCTGTGCGAGTCGATTGCCAAAACCGTGGAAAATGTGGCAGATTGGGATTTAATTATCTCATCTATATTGTTTGCCTATCGAACTTCGAAGCATTCTACTACAAGGATAACGCCATTTTACCTAACCTACGGTCGAGATGCAAGACAGCCCATTCAATCAAGCAAAAGTGTTGGGGAAACTATAGCCCAAAGAGTTCGAGGACTGGTAGATACATTACCGGTAATCCGCCAAGCTGCTATTTTTCAAGTACAAAAGGCGCAGAATAGGCAAAAACAGCTTCACGATAGAAAATTTCAGAATATTACTGAATTTGGAATAGGAGAAAAAGTATTGGTGTACCGTGCATCCTGACAATATAATTGTAGCATAAAGCTTGAACCGAAATAGGCAGGCCTATACTACATTCATCAGGTTTTTGACTGGAATGTAGTCAAGTTGTGCACAATGGAAGTTCAAGTCGTATCAACCCCAATTAGTACTAGTCTAATTAAAAAGTATAGAGATCATCAAAGGGACACCGAAGGAGAAAGGGTATTAAATTAAGGTGTATATTGCGTAATAGAAAGAAGTAAGAGATAAATGATGTTTTGATAATAAGGGTATGATTAAAAAAAAAAAAAAAAAAAAAAAAAAAAAAAAAGAAATACATATATTATAAATAGTAGATCGAAAGAGGGTTTCTTTTTTTGTATATATATAGCCAAGGTTAAAACTTCGATCTATTTTATCTTTACAACATCTAAAAAAAAATAATAATAAAAAAAATGGACATCACGCAATCATTAGAGATATAACCTCTCCCATTCCTTCTGGTGTTATTGTAACTCCACCTTCATTTGTGGCGCTACCTCCATTTGCAGAGACCCATGATCTCGTAGAAAGCGTAGACGCGACTCGTATGGCCTTGCTGCGGGCTATTCGGTTGAAAAATAGAATTGAAACTTTGGTGTTTGCCTATTACCTCGGCATGTTATTTGTAACTGCCACTCCCACTCAGCAAGGAGCCATCCGAAGACAAGTAACTCGACATTATTACCTTGCGGCTAGGTGTGTCTATGATGTATTTGCTTCTCTTGGCATTCAGCAAATTTATAGCACCACTATGGTTACTTTTAATACATTTAGGTTGCTGTTGAATGAAGATCTCCAACAATTGGTCCTCTAATGTTCGTGGAACTCACATTTTAAGTCGGGGTATTGTAACCTGGGAAACTTAGACCTCCGGAAATTTTAATTTTAGGCCGGTTAATTACGTATGTGCCGCAGAAGCCTATTTTTAGTTAGCGACGATCTTCGATTTATTTGGTGGTAAGACTTTTAGGAGCGATTTGTCTTAAAAGTCTTAAAGGTCTTAAAGTCAGGAATATAATACTTTTAAGACTTGAAAGTCTTTTCTTTATTTAATGTATTTTAATAGTTCATAGTATTTTAAGACTTAAAAGTCTTTAATGAAACATAGTGTAAAGAAAGTATATAAGCAGCCTATTTCTGCTGTTCAATAAAAATATCATTTTTACGATTGAAACAAGCGTCCCTTAGCTTGTCTTTTGCCCCACTTATATAAGTAAACTTGTAACACTACCTTCACCTTGATCTTTACTAATTGGAATTCTTGTCTAATTGTTAAATTTACTATAAACCGTATCCGTCACATTGCCAAAGATTACCCTTCTAAATTAACCCAAAATTAGACTAAGATTGTCCCCATTGTACAACCTTTATTGTTATCTCAGTTTAGCACCATTTCCAATCTTGGTTTAGGTTAATTATATTGAGTACCGTACCCAGAAGTATTGTGGATATTTCCTTGCTGAGCTGGTTCCAGTGGTTTGAACACCGTTAAAACTGAAAGTTTGTCACGTGTTTGTTGTCTAAGGATTGCCAAAGCCTTAGAACCATTCCACTTCGTCGAATCTAAATGTCTCGAATTATAGTCTAAAACCAGGATTTTTGGGTATAAGCAAACCTGAAAAAAATCAATCATATAACTTTACTAATAAAATGGCTTTATAGGGAACATTCTTTCAATAAACTCAAGTTGCATCATTTGCATCATACTGCATCACAGTAGTTATAGTAAAGGTTGAAGTACTATATACTAGATAGTAAGAGTATATTGTACTGCACAATTCACAAAGTTCAACATTGTTTTTTTTTATTTTTATTTGTTTTTTAGTTATAATATTAACTTGTTAGCTTTTATTTTCAAATTTTGTAGACTTTTCTTAAAGTTATGATAGTTCTTTAAGATATTTAATACAATAGAAGTTATTTAATATATATAATAGTATAGTTTTATTAATTATGGTGTTTAAAAAAAAACTATTAAAAGACATGTAACCTGTTATAAAAGCCTTTTAAATAAAGTTTTTAAAATTGTAAAATTGCTATTAGTGCGTGAATTAATAGTTGAATTCTTTTACAATGTGGATTATTTTATTTTGAAAAAAAATTTAATATATGAATAAAGCTTGTTAATTGTTTAACGATTATCTATCTGTTTTGACAAAAATGATATCACATGTCTAAAAAGCCAGTTTATTATTGGTTAACTACCTTATAATAATTCTTGTATTTTTCTGAAAAATGAAAAAGTCTCCATGCTAATTTTTGAAAAATTATTAGTAATATATTTATTTAAAAAACTCTATATAATTACATATATTTTATGTAAAACAAACAGTGTAATTATAGAGGAGGATGACTATACTAATATAAAATTATGATTTTTGCCAATACTGCAATGATAATGATAACAATACTAATAATTTCATACATTATAAGAGAGTCAAATTTACAATTACAGTATTAAATTTTAAAAGTGTTAAAACACTTGTATTACTAAAAAATATAGAAATAGCAGATTTGGAGTGGTTGGCATATCTCACAAAATAGTAGCAAGACACTTGCCACTATTTGGCAAGCTAAAAAAAGGCTCATTTTGCTAGCTTGCCAACTATCCTAGGCAGATTATAAAAGTTATAAAAGTAGAAATTTGTTGAAATAATATTTTTTTTAAAAAAAAAAGTTATAAATAATCAATTTAATTGATTGTTTGTTTGAAATATTTTTGGTCAGATTATCCCTTAAACCATCCCATGGGCAAATTTGCCCACTAAAAATTTTTTTATTTGTTTGTTTTGTAATTGCACCTGATTTTATTATGACTCATCCCACCCTTTACTAAGCCAAAATAGAAGCTTATTACATTGATGATCGCCCATAAATTTTATATCACTTCCAATATATTAGACACAATGTTGATTAGAAGTTTGAGTAACTTGATCATTAAAAAAAAAAAATCTTCAAAAAAAAAATTTAACCTTTTACAAAGATATGCCTAAAAATCTGATAGCTTCAAGTTCATCGTCTTTATGTTTGTCAACTTTGCGATCATCAACTTTGCATTCATCGACTTTGTGTTCATCATCTTCTTATATTGAGAATAGTGAATGTGCCGATGATGAAGAATATGTACCAATTTTGTCATTTCACCAACATAGTTTGGATAATGTGGAGTCTGATGAGGACAATGATGAAGATGAAGAGAAAAATGCCATAGAAATAAATACTAAAAGTGTTCAGAAAAGAAAACGTAAACCAGCAAGTGCCATGTAGCAAGAATTACCACCACCACCAGACTTTGAACCACTTGTTCAGAGTTTATTTCGTCAAGCAAAGATCTAGTTACTACCACACTTCAATGTCGGTGTTTCTAAACCAATCGATTTTTTTTTTTTTCTTTACAAACAATATGATCGATACAATTGTGGCAAATACTAATAACTATGCATCAATAAACAAAGCAGGTGTTACCAGTAGGCAATGGGTGGATGTAAACTATAAGGAGGTTGTTATCTGGATTGCTTTTGTTATTTATCAAGGGCTATTCAAATTACCTTTGCTGAATCAGTATTGGAATGAGGACCTAAGGCTCTCCATTTATCATATTTTAAAGCAAATACCATTAAAATGCTTTGAACAAATAAAAAGGTTCCTGCATATTTCACCCCCTGGCCTAATAATTAAAAAATTATTTTGAAAAGGTGGAGTCATTACTTTTGCACATCTGTGATGCCTCCAAAAGGTATTACGTACCAAGTACAAATGATGCAGTGGACGAAATGATAATTCGGTTTTCCAGAAGAAGTGTGCACACGGTTAGAATAAAAAACAAGCCCACACCAGAAGGTTTCAAGATTTTTTTGCTTTGTGAATCTGGGTACACGTACTCCTTCCTGCTAACATCGCATATTTCTCTGAGTGACTTGGAAAAAGTAGATGGCATTAGTTGAATTGGTTTTTTAGTACTTCATCACGTCGAACAACTTCTGTACTACTAATTCTCATTTAATATATATATAGACAATTATTTTTCTAATGTACCTCTTTTTCAGTATCTTCGGCGAATTGGCATTGAATCTTGTAGAACCATCTGAAAAACATCTTCCAGGTTTTCAAAAGAGCTAAGGGTAGATAAAAATACCAAATGTAATTGGGATGTATATTCTGGCATTGTGGTAGATAGTGTGTTGGCTGTCTTCTGGCAAGATAATGGGCTAGTTACAATGCTAACTATGATCTATGGTCTTGCTAGCAATGAATAGGTAATAGAACAAGTAAGGCGTCGACCCAGGGAAACAAGTACCAATGCAGTGAAGGTGCATGCAGTATTTGGATCTGAGTCAAAAAAAAATTAAAGATTCCAAAGATAATCGACAACTACAACAACAACATGAATAGTGTAGATGTCACTGACCAGCTACATTTCTACTACAATACCCAGCAAACAGCTAGGTGAAATTGGTTGCCTTTTTTTTTTTTGGCTGCTGGATACAGCTATTTTCAATGCATATTGTATCACCCACACCTTGGGGTTGGTACAAAGCCACAAAGACTTTCGCACTGAACTTCTTTGGGGTCTAATTGATTCAGCTAGTGAAACTCAATTAAGAGATAATGCAGAGAAAAAAAAAAATTTGATCTTTCAAAAAAAAAAATAAAACAACCAAAGGTTACAAAAAGGTATATACTTTCATCTCAACGGTTTTTGGGAATCATTTTGCTGTGTGGAAGAAACAACGAGAAGGGTGTCAATAGTGTGCATGGCTAACAAGTAAAAAAAAATGAATATGGATCGTAAAATGCCTTACCAGAGTCAGGTTTGGTGTGTGGCATGTAATGTGCCTTTATGTTGTAATAAAAAGCAGAATTGTTTTATTGAGTTTTACACAAAAAATAGTGACTTTTAAATAAAATCAGCCTTTAAATATTTGTTAGCTTCATTATATATATATTTTTAAGATCTCAAATTGATGAGTTACGAGAACTTAATATTAAATAAACTTTTCATCATGATGCAGTTTTGATTTGAAAAGATATATTTAATTATGTAATTATTAGTTTTTTTTTTATATAAATAAGTAGGTTGAAATCTTTTTTTTTTTTTACTGATTCTATTTTTTCTTACTAATAAAATAATTTACCCAAATTTTAATTGAACAAAGTACCTAAAAATGTATAAATTACGCCTCTAATTGAGTCAGTGTTTTTATGATAATATGATATTATTTTGTTGTTTAGCTATGTAAATCATATTTACTAGATTTTTTTTTGGTTAAGTACCTAGGGTCAAATCTGCTGGGATAGCCCAAAATTTTAAGTTATACAGAATAATTAATAGTTTCAGCATGGTGCATTTTGTATAATTTAAACTTGCATATTTTTGTTTAAAATAAAAAAGGCATACGTTATGCCTGACTATATGATATCTATTTGGCCCGAATGCTTGGAAGGTCATCTAGCTTATTTGGGTAATGATTTTTTCAAAAAAATTTTTTTATATTATTTTTTTTTAACCAATTTTTAGTGAGCAAATTTGTTTGCTAAAATGGACGGTTTAAGAGATACTTTTTCTTATTGTGCTTCCTTTTCTTCTAATTTTGAATTATCTTAGAATTAATATTTTTTTACTTGTTCTTGCTTTAGTATGCAATTTTCATCTAGTGTTAGAAATTTTATAATTGTAATATATGGTATATTCAACCTGAACACAGATTATACACCACTTTAATACAGAATAGCTATATAAATGATATTGCTTTTGAAGCATGATACTATCTAGTAAATTTGCCTATTGTAGCATGAAACTGCAAATCTAAAGAA